CGAAACCCTCAGGAATGTTGAAATAGGATTGGCAACCCGCTGTTCAACTTAGTGCCTTTTTACACCCACAATTATTCTGTATCACATTTTATTTACATACCAAATACACAAACAGGGAAATGGCAAAAATACTCAGGTCACCAAACTTAACTAGCAGGAAATGCCATAATGCAACTGTAACAAAATGTCCCAAAATTACAAATCGCAGGTTTATCTAGAATTTTCTGCACGTCATCAAATCAAGATATTGGGGGAGGCCAAGTTCCTCTCCAGTCAATGGGGAAGAAAGGAGACAGTCATTGAGATGTTTTTGGACATAGCCAGAGCTAAACAGTCTCATGGAGTCTGGCATGGTCTTCACAGTGAACAAGCAGAAAAATTTAAAACCAACTGCAAGAAGCCAAGATCCCGTTACTGATATCCACATGACTTTACAATCTGGCTTGCTCCCATGTCAAAAGCATCATATCATATAGCCAGGGCTGTTTCACAACAAGCCAGATTCTAGTCAGGGAATGGCTACAACAATTTCTACCCCGTTTCCCCCACCACACCCCCACACCACCAAGAGAAACTCAGCTAGTCACCCACTCTTAATCTGTGGCCCTCTCATCAGGTGGTTCCATAATTCCTGTCTAAAAGCCATAATTGGATTTGCAATTGAGCGACACTCAAGCAGCACATTAAAGCTCAAGTGTTTTGATAACATCATTGCTTTCTTCACCAGTCACCTTAAATTGGCCACCTATGCTGATCCATATTTTCACCAATGGGAACAGGTTTTCATTTATTTGGGGCAGCACAGTGGTTAGCACTGCAGGCACCCAGGTTCAATTCCAACCTTGGGCGACTGTGCAAACTCCACACAGTCATTCTCCCCATGCATGTGTAGGTTTCCTGCCACAGTCCAGAGCTGTGTGGGTTAGGCAGATGGGCAATCTAGCATAGCCAATCATGTCCAGGGTAGAAAGTGCAGGGATAGGGTTGCGAGTGAGTATGGGTGGGTGGGATGCTGTTTGGAGGATTGGTGTGGACTTGATGGGCCAGATGGCCTGCTTCCACACTGTAAGGATTCTATGATTTAACGAGTCTAGATCTGATCTCAATTTTCAGGAATTCTCCACAATTTGGGATGGCGTCCCTAAATTACTAATATTTCACAAAACTCAAATACAACCTGGTTAAAAATCAGCAACATGTAAAATTCTTTATAATCATTTTATCCAAAACACCAACACTGCACTAAAAGTTGGATATAAAAGCAGTATGGTTGCAAGAATTGGGAATGGGTACATGATGCGACTGGATAGAAAGTAATGATGGAAAACTTGAGCAGATTTAACTTCTATTCACATGCACAACATGCAGCTAGTAGGAATTTCATAAATTACCAGCTAAAATTAATGTGAAACTTATCAAGTACTTTGCAGGAAGTGCTCAATCTTTGCTTCTTCATCATAGCACTAAAACTATGCTGCAAAGGAATAATTTACTGAAAGTAGTCAAACTTTCAACTACCTACATTGTATGTTCTGAATTGCAGGCAAATGATCTACCTATAATGGCATCATCCTATTACATTCAGGTTATAAAGGTCTCCTACACATGAAAATTGTACAAAACCTTAGCATATGAACCATAGCAGCTCAAGGTGGCAGCTCACCATCACATTCAAGGTTAATTAGGATGGGGTAATAAGCACTGGTCTAGCCAGGGATGTGCACATCTCAACTGAAAATAAACAAACATTCTATGAATTGTAAAACTTTTAGTTTAAATATCAAAGCTAGATGTTCCTGACTCCATCGTATCAGAGGTGTTGGCACAAACTACAAGCTTGCCACATGCAGCAGTATTAGCAATCAGCCGGAAATTCTCTCACATGGCTTTTCAGGCCAACAACGGAATTAGTTTGGGAATGAACATGTCAACATTTGTAACAATTGCTGTATTACCCAAATTAGACCAAAGCAAAGATATTTCAACTTAGTCTGATAAGTCAAGGACATGTGAAGACATTGAAGTGTGATACTGAAGTGTCACATTTTAACATCACTGAGTTAAACTGCAATTGGTACTGATGTTGTTTCCTTTTCAGCAGCTGTTTGAATTCCACTGTCCATGTTTTGCTCCAGAAAGCTAACTTGATAAATCCAAGTGTTTCCCCAACCCCACAAAAAGGATAGGGAAAAATTGGTAGAAATCTTTCACCCATTTATTCAAGTACTCACAGGACCTGGACAGGTTGTGGTAGGCAAAGTTCCATTCCCCAGTTCAGAGAACTGTAATCAAAGGGAGGAAACTTCACAGGAATTAATGATGAAACAATTATTCAACAGTGCTCCTGAAGTTCAAATCAGAAACTTGCAAAGATGACAACTATTTACTCGTCACTGAAACATGCCGTCACGCAAACTGGAAGCATAACATAATTCACAGTTCTTTATTATCATCATACTTAAATTAGACACTCCAATAGTATAGTAATACTCGTACTATTTAAGTGCGTCAAATAAACATTTGGGGTCTGTCAGAGAGGCCAAGAGCTTCAATAAATCTGAAAAGCTAATGTACTGGCTTCAAAACAATTTTTTATATTTGTAATCAAAACCTTTTATAACTATGTTCACTGTATAAAGTGAACAAAAAACTTTATTACATGACAAATACTGCACATCTGAAAAGCTACCTGTTAACTTCTGCTTGTTGAATACTTATTTGGCACCATTTTACACACTTTAAAAACATTGGGCACTTGGCTAGTAATGCCCACACTTGTATGTGGGAGGGACACAGGGAGAAGATAGATAAAGAAAAGCAAGAAAAGGAAAGCCAAACCCTTTCTGATTTGCTACGAAACCAATTAGCAAAACAAACAGTCGTCTTGAAGTTGCAGTTTAAACTTCCAGTGACCCTAATTTTTTCCCACATTAGTGTTAATACACTTACTTTCCAAGTTGAACTTTGCCTTTCCCCCACAAAGCTGAAGTGAAACAACAGGAGTAAAATGGGAAGGGAAGACAAAAAATTCCTAAAATGAAGTAATTTTGAATTAATGCCAAGTAAACACGTGCAATTGAAAAAGGCAGTGTCCGATTTGTATGGTGTTTATTCTTTCTCCAAGTGCACGCTACAGTTAGATGAAATAACAGTTTGGTACAGTTAACTCATTAAAGTTGTTAAGTGCTACCTATCCTTCAAATGGTGATGACATTGCAGTGGTTTCCACCAAATGAAAATGACTTAGCAAGAGAAACAGCGTGCAACTTAGAAAGCCATCCATGTAGCTTTACCCCATCAAGGCATTAGGCGATACCTTTACAGCACACTATTAAAATTCAAAATTTATCAAAAACATTCTATGGAATTTCATTAATTGCCTCAGTGGTGGTGGTCTAACCCCTACCTCGATTTACATACATTATACATTAATGTATTATACTTATACATTAAGCTAGAAAAGTGACAAAATAAAACTCCTGCAGAAAGAGCAAGAGGGGTTTATGGTAATAACGTGATGAAAAGCAAACATGCAATGTCATCAATCACTGTAAACTGAAAATCTATTAGTGCAAAGTTTGCTGAAAGCCATATTTTGACTTTTAGAATACACGCAAGTTTTCGCTCCCCCTGCCTCGACAAACAAAGTTTCTCAAACTTGACGTTTATCCTTCCCATCCCCGCAGAAAAACAAGTTGTTTCCGAAGTTTTTTTCTTGACACTGTAGCCTAAGCAACATTATTTCACATTCCCTACCCTCCCCCCAACATAAGTTAATATATTTTTAGCTCCACATAGGCTAAAATCAGTTAAAATGATTATACGATAGCATCCAGCACTCCCAAGTTCAAAACGAGGCCAGCATCTGAGAAAATAAACTAAGAATTTCATATTGGGTGCCAGTGTTTACACATGTGCCCAGAATTCTCACCAGACAACCTGTTCTAAGTATTCCGGTATCAGATGTCTTTCATACACTTTCAAAGATCATCATTAATTAAAATAAAGTTTCTCCAGTTATAGTGAAGCCATGTTTTAATGTTACTGATTCAACCGAGAGATGGCTTGAAGTTAGTAAGTGGGAATAAGGAGAAAATAGAGGACGGAAGATAACCAGTTTAAAAATTATACTGCTATTGTAAAAAGGGAAAAAAAAGAAGTGCTTTCTTACAGCATGCCCAACTGCCTGACTGGAAAATACCCTTTAAGGCTGTCTGGGTCACATGCCGTCAGCATGAGGGTAACAGCCAAACCTCCAAATTAGTATTACATAAAACAATTAAATTGCACTTTGCATAGGCTTCCCAGTGAGAAAACAAGACAACTTAATATTTGCCAAGAGATGTATCTGCATGTGCAAAACTGCTCGAGTTAGTGTGTACACATCAGCTCGTTTAAATTCTGTGCAAGCCGTTGATTATGTAATAACCTTGAGTTCTGATTTTTTTTTATATCAAAAGTAAATTAACTAAAGGGTTGCGCCACTAAACTTACAGTATACGACAAGTTTTTTTTTTGCTAAGCCTGCTTACCACAGTGTAAATTCACATGTTAAAATTTCTCCAAAAACAGACTTGAAAAGGCTGAAGTATCATTTTTCAAGCATCACTCCATAAAAATGCAAGCAGAAGTTATAGAAACTTGGCAGTTTGTGACAAATTGGCTTGAAAAAAGTGAACTCCCCAGGTTTATGCAAGTATGTTTACACAAACACATCGTCATGAAAAAATTCACCTCCTTTAACAGACGACTGCGGACAATTTTTAAAGTGAACAGGTCACAAGTAACTGAGTATGGTTTTTTTTAAAACCCACTGTCAACGACTCTGTCCCATGAATTATCTAATTGGACCAGCTCCACTACGTGAAGGAAATGCTTAAACTGAGCATGATGCAGTTCTGATTTCGGATATCCACTCCAGGGTTTGGTGTGCACATTTTATTTACATTATGTAGCACGAGTACTATACCAGCATCCAAATGCTTAGTATATACATTACATATATTTATATATATTTATATATTTAAACAAGAGTTTTTAGAATTTTTATGGGAAAGTCAATATTATTGTTGTAATTTTTGCAACACTTAAAACACAAGAAGTGAATCCAATAAAGATCTTTATGTTGATTTGATATTTAGTATTAATTGCATGACCATCATAGCACCATTTCCACAATCCACAGAATTAGCAGCTGCTTGAGTTTAACTAAAAATAGTCCAATATTGATACAACTTATATGCTTGCACTATACAAAAACCAGTAGTGTCTTAGTACAGTGCTGTAAAATGGAAGTCTGCAGATTTAACGGAAGATGCCATTTTAACAGACTATCAGTGATATACTGGCAATACTGTTGAAGCAGACAGTAAACATAGAAGGAAAAAACGGGCAATTAACAGTTTTAACCAAATTAACATCCAATGTTACCCTTCCCTTTAAAAGGAATCAAGTTAAGGTCACTTTAGCTTGGAATCTAATGTGTTCACCTATGATGATCTTGCTAACTACCACACAAATGATTGGATGTCCTCTGTCACAAGACCAGTATTGGAAAAGCCATAATTACAAGAGGCATCTACTGCATTAAGTTAGAACTTCCTTTACGGCAATCATTATTGAATTCACTTGTACTTTCACAATCAAACAAGTTATGATGGCCCTCCATTTCCATTCAAGAAAGTGTCGAGTATCAAGTGGCTTTCAAGTAGCACAGCAATCATATAAAAGTTCAAAGCATTCGATTGCGCTTGTGCGTTGGGGAGTCTGTGATGACATCAGTACACTGGGCTGAGGTACGCTTCCTAGTGCCACCATTGTCCAAATGGAGTGCCATTTCTTCTGATATGAAAGTGTTCAAATCCACATCATGGAGTCCATTTCTCCTGCGAGAAGTATTGGAGCTACCACTCACATGAGTGGGAGACCCTGGAGTACTTGAGCGTACACTTATACTAGCCATTGCTCCACTGAGACCTATGGAGACAAAAAAAAAGCATTAAAATCAGTTTAGTAAACAACAGTTCTGGCATAGTGCACTGACCACAAAACAGTTATTTTGCCAACTTTAACAAACTACCAGAATTTGACAGCATCTCACAATAATTACATGAGGTCAAATTTAATCATTCAGGCCAATAAATAGATGGATTCAGATAACTGACGATGTATGCAATATGGCTCATGTACTATTCATAAGAAGCCTGCAAAAAGTGACAAATTTAAATCAGATTGCAGTGACCAATGTACTAGCCACACCTTGCAAATAATTAGCAAAGACACACACAACTGGAGCTGGGACAGGAAAGTGAGTGACAGAAACCCAGGCATGTGAGGGAGACCAATGTGAAAGAGACCCCCAGGACAGACCAGTGAATAGAGGAGAACACACGCAAATGTAGTGATTAAAAGGGGGCAAGGAACAGAATGCCAATTTTTTCTTTAGGAAGGGGGTGGGCAGGCAGAAGAGAAAAAGGAAGTGGTGGGGTGGATGGCTGCTGAGAGAAGAATGGAGAGATGAAGCAAAGGAGGGGGAAAAAGAAAAAGGATTTATTTTAGTCATACAGTGCTTTTCACAATGTAAGTACATCTCCAAGTGACTTGCAACCAATAAAGTACATTTTCCACCATCAGAAGGGAGGAAATACAGCGTTTAATGCATACATACCCTACTCCGAGGAAAGTATCTGTTGGAGGGAGTATTGCACTGGTTGTCAGCCAGGATTCAATACTGGGGTTGAGGAGTGGAAGGGACAGAGGGGAAGTCAAAATGAAAGAGTAAGATCTTGGCCATAAAAATCCCACACTGACATGTACTTCAAGTGTCACAATCTTGCAAATACTTCTACTAGAAACTACAGTGTGGACACTTTGTAAATAATTGTGATTGTAAAAAAAGATGGGTGCTGCTTGCAAAATATCGAAACAAATGAAGATATCAGACTTTATTGAGTCAGTTGTACAGCCCAAAAACAGACTAGATGTCCTGAACTGATCTAGTTGCATCTGCAAGCATTTGGTCCAAATCCCTCTCAACCCTTCTTATTCATTTACCCATCCAGAGATATTTTAAATGCTGTTGAATGTTTCCACCACTTCCTTTGGCAGCTCATTCCATACACACATTACCCTCTGCTTGGTGAATTATCTGCATGAAAATTGCCCCTAAGGTCCCTTTTAAATCTTTCTCCTCTCACCATAAACCTATGCCCCCTAGTTTTGGACTCCCCTACAATGGGAAAAAGACCTTGGCTATTCACACTATCCATGCCCCTCATGATTTTATCAACGTCTATATGGTCACTCCTCAGCCTCTAACGCTCCAGGGAATTATAGCCCCAGCCTATTCAGCCTCTCCCTATAGCTCAAACCCTCCAACCCTGGCAATATCCTTATGGATCTTTTCTGAACCCTTTCAAGTTTCACAACATCCTTCCTATAGCAGGGTGACCAGAATTGAATGCAGTATCCCAAAAGTGGCCTAACCAATGTCCTGTACAGCCACAACATGATCTCCCAATTCATACTCAATGCACTGACCAATAAAGGCAAGGGTACCAAACACCACCTTCACTTCCCAAGTATACCTGCGACTCCGCTTTCAAGAAACTACGAACCTACACCCAAAGGTCTCTGTTTGGCGACATTCCCCAGGACCTTATCATTAACTGTACAAGTCCTGCCCTAATTTGCCTTTACAAAATGCAGCACCTCATGTATCTAAATTAAACTCCATCTTCCACTCTTTGGCTCATCTGAACAAGGTCCTGCTATACTTGGAGGTAACCTTCTTCACTGTCCACTACAGCGTCAATTTTCGTGTCATCTGCAAATTAATATCTCATGAAAGCCAACATCATTTAGGATTACATGGCCATTAAACTCAACATATTTCCCAATAATAACAGATAAATTAGCTAGCACGCCAAGTCTAAGTAAAAATGCACTCAAAGCTTGGGCAGTGGACTAGATATTCTCGTGTGTTGCATTTGCACAAAGTCAACAGACAAAAGAAGGTACTATTTACAAATTGTTCCATTCTTACAGATGAAGATGTTAGTGAGGTTTGCCTAAAGAGAAACTTAGAAATATTCAATTTACATACTAACCAGCTTTTAACTTCCCAATAAAAAGAAACCACTAAAGCTCAGTTACCAACTTTACATAAAGAACATCTGCAGAGGCAAATAAGATGGCCACACAAAATTAGGGGAAATGTTCCCCACAAATCTGTCCATCATGAAACAATTGCACAGAAGGCAACAATGCAAAACAATAACCATTTCTTCTGGAGTACTGATGCAGGAAGTTTCAGCTCCAAACGTATTTGTCACCTAAAATTTCAGGCATTCTTTATTAAAATAAGTTAATGGTTTCTTTGCATTATTTAACCATGGCATTCTCAAGGGGTAGGGGTCGGTGGGGAGGGACGGGAGAACTGGCTTCAAAAACCATGCAAAGACAAGACTGAGTAAGTTATTAGCCATCACAATTAAACAGCAGCATTTTTCAACTTTGAAGGTCACACCTAACTGCCAATTCCACATAAGTTATTCCAATACAAGGACACATGAAAAAAGTCAATCCCAAAACTTATATTTGCATATCACCTTCAATGTAACTAAATTGTGTCAAGGCATTCATAGGGCATTACGAGATAAAGAGAACTACACAAAGGCTACACAAGACGATACTAGTTTAGATCACTTTGACCAAGTGTTTGGTTAACTTTCAAAGAGTTTAAAGGAAGAGCAAGAAGTGGAGACGCTTAGGCAGAGAACTCAAATCTTGGTGCCTAAACAGCTGACAGCACAGCCAACGGTGGAATGGTTAGAACAGGAATGCTCAGAAACCCAGAGTTAGATGAGCACAGAAACTGAATGCTGTAATACTAACAAAATTGGTGCCAAGTAAATTTGTGTCAACATAAACAAATAGCTATGATCTCAAATACAGATAGCTGATAAGCTTAATGTCAAGGGCTAATTCAACAAAGTAAAACTAATTTTCAGAACTCAGGGTTCATAAAAATCTGGTTAGAAGACTTAACTGGACTGAATTGGTGTTTACAAGCACAAAATATAGAACTATGTGCCACGAACTGCTGCACTACCTAATGATCCGGAGGCCAAGATTTCATCATTCTTCTATTCAGTGTTGATGCAAAAAGAAGGTATATAGAGAATCAAAACTAGCTCAAATCTGTTAGTGCTGAATCATGGGTACACTGGGGGCAAGAGCTAATCCACAAGAACTTGGGTGAACATGGATGAATTCACCCACGCAAAATAAATTAACCTAAGCTTTAAAATCCCTTTCCAAACGAATTAACAGAACACCTTAATTCTTATAAAAGCTCAAGCACTGACATAGCTGATACCAATTGGCAAGACTATACAATTTTTTGATGCATTTAAAACATAGCAGAAATCACTATCTATGGCATTCTCTATAAACACCATTGGACAAACTATTGTAACTTCAGAACTGAATGTTTAAAAATAATCTATGACCACACAATTTGCAACTGAATTGTACTTGCCAAGTGACAATAAACATACCAAATGTATACTGTATAGAAACATAGAACCTGCACGCTTCTTTGCAATCCCTTGAAAACCTGAAATGGTCTTCTGTTGTGATTTCAAAACTCAACTAAATCAATACAATAGCTCTACTGGAGAATCTAACATTTGTCTAATTAAAATCAGACCAATCACACTTGGCTTCATGTGTTTCATTTCAAAATGAAAATTAAATTGACAAAGATCAAATTAAACTTTTCCACCTAAATTAAGAAGCTAAGAATCCATTTAAAAGGAGTTACACAGAATCAATTGTGACAAGATAATTTATGCTGACCCACATTGCTGAAATATGCACAACATAGAACACTCTCTGCAACACAAAAGCAATGCCATATTGACATTTTCTTAGCTGCTCCGATTATTGATTTCAATTTAAGGTTTCTGGGAAATAGGTCTCAGATTAACTTTCACAATGCTGTTGAGCACAGCTTAAACTGATGGATCAAAGCATTTGCTCAAAAACTGAAAACTGACTATTTTATTCCCTTAAGTATGTATCTCGCAGCCTCCAAACATTAAGAAAAATGCAAAATTTCTCCTCTCATTGAGGAGGCCTAGCAATTGATAGCCACCATGCACCAACCTATCTATTCCCTCCATTGCCACTTTCCCATTAAGCTGCAGTTCACATTTACTCATCTCGATTAGAATTAGCACAGGTTACCACAATTCATAAAATGTTAAGAAATTAAGAGACAAACAAACACAATCAATAGGCAGGAAATAAACATTACCAAAAGCCACCATTGAATTTGGCTGACGATTACCAAGAATCTAAATGAAATATCAAGAGGGAAAGCTCACATTCTGCACCCAGTTTGTCATAATTTTGATCTCATCCCACCCACGTCAACCGTCTTCCATTTCTCCTCCTCTCAGTTCAGTCTTGAGAGAGTGTATCATTACAACAACCTGAATTTACACAATGCCTTTAACGTAACAAAATATCTTTTATCAATTCACAAGAGTTTTATCGAACAAAATTTGACAACCATTTATAATATCAAAAGCTTGGTCAAGCAGATAGGTTTTAAAGAAACAGGTTTATAGTATAGTAGTCAGGCAGACAGGTTCAGGGCATCAACAGCTGAAGACATGGCCAGCCTTGGTGGAATGATTAATCCAGGAGGCATAAGAGGTTAGAATAGGAGGTGCATGGATCTCAGAGGGTTCAAGTGATTACAGAGACAAGAATTAATAAGAAACCATTTTACATTAAGAATCCTGACTAATCTTCCTCATTTGGTGAAACACACTTCATCCTAGTAGGTCTGAATCCTCAGACTGATGCTGATTATTTTAAAAATAATTTCTTCATTTCTGAAGAAGGGTCTAGGCCCGAAGCGTCGCCCTCCTGCTCCTCGGCCTGCTGTGTTCATCCAGCTCTAC